TTGCATCAACTGAGAACTTGACTGAAAAAAAAAAAAAAAAGAACATTTGAGGCATTTCTTTTATTATAATCGCCCCAGTATTTCAGATCCAGCTATTTCAGAACATCTGCAAGAACACATATCCAGCCTGTGTGCAAAAAAGAACAAACAAGATTTGGGTAGAAGTGAGGGAAGGCTATTTGCCTGCTAAATCAGTATTGAAGTAGTCTTTGTTTAGATGTGGCTCATCATTGAAAATTTTAAGGCACATAGCTGGCTGAAAGGGTGGATTGACGAATGGAGCTGGGAGGACAGGGAGAAGCTGAACATACAAATCTTTGGAAAAATATTTAAAGAAATAATGATGAAAAGCAGTAAGGTTTGGAGGGGTACAAGAATACTTGGATTTATTCAAGTTCTGTTTTTCTACTACAGATGTTCTGCTAACTAGAGCAGAGATGTTCAGAGACCACATATTGGCTGTAAAATTCTAGGACTGAGATTAATTAAATGTCTGCTGCTCCTCATACAAACTAGACTCCAGAGCTTTTCAGGCCTTCTAGTCTTCTGAAAGAACAGCTGTAGAATACATCATGTGCATATCTTGCACTCTTAAAATGTATTTTTATAACAAGTGTCATTTTTTTATAAGGAAAGTTAAACATCTTACCCTTCCTCTGATTATCTTGCTGCTGTTCAGAAAAAAAAAAAAAAGGATAAGGGTCTGATACTTACTATACTAACATCTGATACTTCCTGCAGAGCACTGCCTCCACCCAACATGTGTTTTTAAACAAAATTCATAGCAGGTTCAATGGTCACAATTATTCACTTATGTTATGGTTTATGTGAGTTCATTTCTTGCAACAGTTGTAGGAAGGTGAGGACCCCATTCCGGTCTGTTCTCTAGGTCAATACCTAGGAAATATAATTTGTCATTTGCACCTCCTTTTCCTCCTGACTGGTCAATGTCATAGCTTCTTTTGATCAGTAAACTCACCCCTCCTCTGGATCCTGCTATGCAGGCAAGAGGTATACTTTTATTACGTGATACATTTTTATATATGATTAATCTTGCAGAAATCTCTTTTCCTCCTCCATAAGTGGATACCCTAGCAATTTGATTTCTAGCCAGGCCTCAGGCAGTTTCCTATTTTAATTTGATATGGTACCCACAAATTCACAATATTCTTGTGTTGTTACACTAAAACAATACATCTATTTAAACAGTGCCCAGCCCAGCTTTAACAGTATACCCCTTATGGCTGCCTCCTTAGCTCTTACAGAAAAATGAAGCTGATGTCAGATGTAAAATTTTCAGCCTGCTGGAACTGTTATATACTTGATACATTACTTACACATGCCACTTATAAAAACATAAACCCCAAGCCAAAAGCATCTCCTTCGCTCCCACATGGCTGTAGTTGAAGAAGATGTCATTGACCATAAAGAAGCAAGTAAAACATTTTGCCTTAAAGCTGCAGTGATTCACACCAAAAAGACTTACATTTCTTACCAAATATGACTGCTTTAAGTTCATGATTTTACTGTAACTGAAGATATTTTTATTCTAAATCTGGCTGATTACAGCAACTATGGGTGGTGGTCATATGCAGCGGTGGCTTGTGAGGGGCACAAAGGTACAACCTGACTAATGCCATCCAGGAACTCACGCGCTGAGGAACACCAGCCTGTGCTTTCATTGTGAAAGTACTTTTTAATTGTTTGGGTTTTCTGAGGTAGCTGTTACTTGACCTTTAAATAAATGATTTAGGGCCTACAAAAACTTTGGACTGGACTCCTTAGAAATGCCAGCTGTGTGTGGAAGAAATGCCAGCCATGGAAATGAGAGAACGTGCAGCCCACAGCAAGCTTCCCGCTACTGCCTTTGCCACATGCAATATGAGAAGGATGAAGAAGTTAGCTCGGTCTCCAGAAGCCCTCAGTTCCTGATGCATCTGGTAAGACTGGCAGGAAGGATACACCAATAATGGTGATGTTGGCTTATTTATCAACCACAAACCTATTTCAGTATCAACAAGCAAGTTAGAGTCAGTCAAAATGACTGCCAGGAGGTCTCCATCTGAATGGGTTTTCATAGCATTCAAGCCACGTAAAGACACATAGTCCAAATAAGGGACAATGTTGTCTATGCTGCTGTCCTTGGGTGGGGGTCAAAGGCTGTATGACTTATTCCAAATGCCACTATATCTAGTCCTTTCCAGAGCACTAACCAAAAACATTCATCTTTACGAGTTCTTCGCAAAATTACTTATAATGAGTATTTTATTTAATAATGAGCACTTTAGAAATAAATGTCTTCAGTGGTTTTAATGCATCATCATAGGAAAGCTTTAAAAAGGAATAGACTTGAACATTATAATCATAATGTTAAAACTGCTGACAAGACCAATAAACCATGGTGGATTAAGTATCACTGATAGATTTCTGGGGGATAAAGATTTGAACAGCCTCCTGTTGCAGGCAAGCTTGATCTTGCTGATATACATATTGAAAATGTCCCATAAAGATAACAGAGGCATTCGATTCTCAAGAGAGACAGAGCTGTCCCATGTTAATAAGTGTGTTGCTACAGGTAGCTTCTTGGATAGGAACTTACCCAAACCTGGGTCCAGTTCCCAGCCATTTGCCTGTGTTGGTCACAAGCTTATTAAATGTTTTATGGTTGATATTACTTCAGAACATGCTGAGCAGGCAATTTTCTTGGGTTTAAGTGGATCTTCCTATAATTTTACAGAAAAAAATATCATCTCCTGTAGTAATTCCTATCTCCCCTGTGCAATTACATAGATACGTCAGACACTTTTCGCACAAGAACAATAAAAGCTAAGCCGATTTTTTTTTTTTTTAATTCCCAAGGAGGAAGAATTAAGGTAATGATGAAAGTCAGACTGTGTTGGGTAGGAAATCTCAGCTAGGCCTTGACTACTGTCAGGGGGCTGTAGGCAGACACTGGACTAATTTGTTGACACCTTGGATTCATGGTTTTCTACCCCTAGTAATGTGACTGAAAATTGAAAAAGAGGTGATGTAAAATGGGACCCTTCTATAAGACAGTTTGAAGACCATGTGGGTAAAATGATTACCAACTTTGTCAGATTCTACATGTCTCTCAAGCTATTCCTTCATACGAGTGTTTATAATGCTTAGAGCGATACTTCTTACATGGCTAAAATACTACATAATCAGGAATCCCCAGCTACCAAGGCTGTTGCTTGAAGGATCCTGAAGCGTTTCATGGACAAACTCAGGGGGTGAAATACAACCTTAATGAAAGCAGCTTGCAGCTCCCAGAGACTCAAGGGCACTGGGTCTTTTTACATTAGGACTGAATTTGGTCCAAAGTGTACAAAACTTGCGTTGTGCCTTAAAGCTAATTGAGGATTTGTGGCTCTCCGTCTCTCAGTTGGGAAAGGTCAGCTTTGAGATTTCCAGGTCAAAACTGTTTGACAAGGATTTAGTGTCATCCACAACTTGGGACATGCTAACAGGCTTTCTTGTTTAAAGGCAATGCTGCAACTGTAAAAAGAGGCTAAGAGGGCAAAACTGGGAAGAAAAAGAAGATGATTTGTTTAAGTGATTTATCCTTACACTTCAAGACTCTGAGACTAGAAGAGGGTTCCTCTTGTTGTATGAGGCATGACTGACCTATCTTTCCATTCTTGCACTGCTGAGTTATTACAGTTTTGAAATGTAAATAGGAAAGACTTCATAATCTATGGGGTAATCTGCGTGGGCTAATTTGTACCTTCCTGGAAAGCCTAGATCCTTGCTTGGTTAAACAGGGCATTGTGGAGGCTTAGCCAACTTTTCCTGTCATTTGAGAAATCAAAGACAACAGAAGAGGCGAGCAGTGAGACGCACCATTTAATTACCACTAACCCTTCTAAGCATCCCTGTTTTTCCTAGGCTACATGGATGGACAGTTGGAATTATGCTGTAGCATGGGAGAACATTACACTGGCCTCTTGTGTACCATATGCCTTTTCATTGACAAACTAACACTTTTTTAATGAGAGTTTCTGAGGTTGTTATCCAAACTACATTCCTTATCCCAGATCTCATCTTTAGCACCTCTCCCAGAGGTATCTGGGAGTTTGGACCCAGACATATATGCAAATCCAGGGCTTGATCAGGTCCCAGTGAAGTCAATAAAAATATTGTTGGTGCTGAACAGATATCCACTAGGCTCAAATGAAAAGTAAAAGCCATCCAAGAAAAAATGGGAGACCAATTACGGGTTCTTTTTTTAATCAAAATATGCCTTCTTCTTCTCTCTCCCTCCCTTTAATTTTTTTTGACTGTCTTAACTTTTTAACTAGTTTAAAGTAACTGAGAAAATGTTTAAATTTTAGAATGTTGAATAGGCCTGGACCAATGCCCAAAAAATGTCATGTGACCTTCCTGATATATAACTCTTAATTTTGGTACTTACTGATTCCAGTCAAGGATTTTTGGTGATGATAAAACACTGAAATGTAGGAAAAGAAATACCAGGAGGCTGAGAAATTAACTTCTGTTCGCAGGTATCACCATTTCTGGAAAAATGGAAAAGGAAAAAAGAACACCTGCAAAACTTTGCTGCATTAAATATTTCATAAGCATAACCTCGGGCTTACGTTAATGTAATCATTTACATGGGAATATTAATTTTTGAAACATTTGTTGCATTAGTTAACCTGTTCTTTACAGAAGCGTTAGACTCTCGAAGCGGCGTCTGGAAGGCACGGGGGCAGGTGCTGGTCTGCCGCTCTGTGCACAGCCCACCGCCACGGCCCTGATCCTGCCAAGCATCGCAGAGGCGCACATCACTCCCTCGCAGAGGGGGTGGTCGGGCCGAGAGGCTGACGCGGGCTAGGGCGAGACTGGGGACCCGCGTCCTGCAGGTAGAGAGCACCTGCTCCTGGCACCCGGCTGGGGACGTGGAGAGGAATCAGGAGATAACTTTTCTTTCCCACGCGTCCGGGTTTGCCTCGGTGGCACCGAGCAGGCACCGGGGGATGCGGGGCGGCGCACCGCAGCCGGAGGGAAGCCGGCAGAGCCGGACCCCTCCGGGGTCGCGCTCCTCTCGCCGTCCCGGAGCCCAGGCTGCCTTCCAGCCCTTGATCTCGGCAGAGGGTGAGCGGTTTGCCAATCTGCTCTCACTCTCCGGGCACCGTTAAGGTGGAAAGAGCAGATGAAAAAGTGAAGGCAGACATCTGCCCTTTGCGGTGTCCCCGTCGGAGCACGAAGCGGGGGAAGGAAGACGAGGGGACAGGGTGAGCGGGTGCGTGTGTCAGGCAGCCGGGGATGATCTAAGTATCTGAAGTCATTCGAAAGGTCAGAGCAAGCATTAGCTCTTCCCCGCCTTGCCTCCTCCTCGGGGGCTCGGGGGCAATCACAGTCCGCCCAAACTAGATGACAGCTTGCCGGGACTTAATGACAGGCTGGGTGCAGAGGAGCCGCGGCCGCCCAGACAAAGGGAGGAAGCTGGGTGCTGCCG